TTAGGACATAAATGTTTAGAAAAGCAATCTTAGCAACAGGCCCCACACACAGGTATGTCTAATAATTAGTTTCCAATGAAATCATTGCTGCTTCTTCAGAGCAATAACAGCATAACATCTGGGAGATTTCACAGGATCAAACAACTTCACAAGTGCAGACCATGCAATATCTTCCTGCAAATTGATAAGTAATTTAGATATACAACCATTTGTTGAAGAAAAAAAGGAGAGATGAGTCAGATTATATATTGTAATATAAAAACTACAGAAAAAACAAACTATATGAAAGAAAACTACTCTGTTGAATAAAATTAATATTTACAATTTCACCTTTAAGACTTTATGCTGAGGAAATAAAGATGTACATAGAAAGTGAATGACAACCTTATTCTTTGCTGTGATCATGAAAAACTAGAAGTGGCCAATAACAATGGGTATTAAATAAATTATTTTATGATGAAATATTATTCACTTTCTGTAGTATGTTTAATAAGGTGGGAAATTCTAAATGAAATAAAACAAATTAGATGTAAAACTGTATTTATAATTTCATTCCAATTTTAACTAAAGTATAAATAATGTGTACATACGTATACACATAACATACGTATATTTGAGAGATTCATCAGAAAATATACCAAAATGTAGTAGTTAATGCTAAAAGGTGGGATTATGACTACTTTTAATTTTATTTTTATATTCTTCTGTATTTTAAATTTTCTATCATAAATATGTATTCCTTTTATCTTACCTAATATATTAAAAATTAATATTTGTGATTTTTATAATTTCATTACAACCTATAAATCTTTGTGCATACTGTTTTGCTTCACTATTGTACTTGTGTCAGTGAAAATTGTTTTGAAAAAGGAAATGAGTATCCAGTAAAATAGGTCACCTATCAACTTGGAAACCAAAGTTTTCCAGTGATGTAGAGTTAGTTGGTAGCTTAGGAAAGTACATCATTATTTAAATATTTAAAAATTGCCTTTCTTCATAAAAATACAAATTAAAACAAAGCAAACATTTATGAATATCCATTTGTTCCAGGTAGCTTGTGGAGAAGAAGTAAAGCTCCTCCTATGATAAAATGAAATTTTTAAACTAAGGGGTATATAGTGGAAATGTTAGGTTGGGTTTATGAATAGATTTAATTTACAGTTCACCAAACTTTATTTTAACCACAGCTCAGAGTAGAATTTGTAAAAAAATATTTACCATAAAGACAACCCAAAAGACAATATTTTGTCACTCAATGTAGATAAAACAAATAAGATTGTGAAAAACCAGAAATAATCTTCATTGATCAAAAAGAAGTTTCTATACTGTAGACTCCATAAGGCCAAAAATCCAAAAGTGAATTAAAAGGCAAATTCTTACAAAATGAAATATATATATAATATCGTTTATGTCTGGCCTTTATTAATTTTAGCTATATAATATCATATATGGTGGTTTATGTTCATTGCCTATGTATAATAATTACCATACAATTAAAAGAATGTAAACTTTATTAAACAGCTTTGCTGAAAACATCTGTTGTACGTATGTTTGTATGTTTAAAAAGAGATGGAATGAATATTTAAACTATGAAAATACAATGAGAAAATTTTTCCCACTAGTTTTATGTGAAAGAATTTTATCCTAGATATAAGTGGATACAGATTACTGTATTTGATAAAGGTATTTGCTATGCATTTAAAATAATATAATTTACCTGCTCTTTTAGGTAGCAAAGTCGATCCAGAAGAATCAATGTTTCTATACAAGGAGCCAGAACAACTTTCAACTAAAAGAAAAAAATAAGATAGTATGGTGGTACTGAAAAAAAAAAAAATACTAGCTTATTTCCTTAACATTTATTTTTAAGAAAATGTATCTACAGAAGTTTATATAAGCCAAATCTCCAATAGCCATGTACATCTTCAGAAAATGAATACTGCAGAGATCAAAAGGTTTTCTTTAATAATAATAGGAAAAGAATGTTCTTTAAGTCCCTTTGAGGTAGAATCCAACAAGCAATCATATGTGACAGAAAGCTTTTAAAGGGGTACTAAAAATGAAATTCATTAAAAGGAATGCTTGTGAAATAACTGCATTGAGACCAATATGTGTTCAAAGGACTCTGAAACTTCTTTTTGTGCATTTATAATACACTTTAAGAGAAATCTACCATGTGTTCTCTTTATTACATTACTGACACCTAATATAGTTTTGAAATAGGAAATGATCCAGAACAGTTTTTCTATAGTAAGAGAAAAACAACATAGATTGCTTGGCCCCATAATAAAATTTAATAGGACCCTATTCAAGTCTAACAAGGTATCCAATTTAATATGCTTAACTCTGAGATTTACCATATTAAAAGCTTCCAGCTCATTCATTCGAGGTTTATACTTCTCATAGTAGTTCATTATAATTTTTTCTGGCAGCTTCAAGATAAAAAAAAAACAATAAATTTAATAATAGTTTAAAAAGTATTCTTCTTTATCAAACATATTCTAAACTCAAATAAACATGACATCAATTTGACATGACAACTACAGGTGTTCAAAGAGCTTTCTACTAAGATATCCATGAAGCAAGTCGATACAACTTCAAATTCACTTAAATCTGCACTGGTATAGGTTATTTAGCATATCATAAATAAAATCACCAATAACATCCTATTAATACTGTTTAATTTCAACAACTAGTGATAAACTATTTACTTTCACTGTTACTATGCATGGGGCACATAGCAGGAACTCAATAAACATTTTTTGACTAAAATTAAAAACACTCTATCTAAGACTGTATATCCTGGAGAAGAATTCAAAGGCAACAGGAACACAATAATGGCATTCATTTAACAAATCCATCGACAAGTATTACTTTCTGTTTTTTCTCTAAAACAAATACCCATAGTATACCGAACCCTTGTACTCGTTTTTGCTCCTACCAGGTGAGCTTTATGCTTACTGAGTCAACTGAATTTATTTCTTAACTTGTTATGCCAGTTATATTATTGTAATGATACGCAGGTTGAGCAGCCCTAATCTGAAAATCCAACATCCGAAATGTTCCACAATGTGAAACATTTTGGGTGTCAACATGACACTCAAAGGAAATATTCATTGGAGCATTTTCGATTTCAGATTTTCAGATCAGGGACGCTTAACTATTAAGTACAATATATAATGTAAATATCCCAAAATCCGAAAAAATCTGAACTCTGAAACACTTCTAGTTCCAATCATTTCAGGTAAGAGATACCAAACCTGTAGTTAAATAAAATATAACCAATAAAATACGAAAGCAAAAAGAAAAGTTGTTTCTATAAATTGAATGCCTTTGTGAAAGGCTTGATAAAAAAAAGTCACCAGAAGAAATTTCTGTCACTTACATATGGTCAAAACGAATGAAGGACTGGATAAAATGAGTCAAAAATCTGAAATCATATTTATTTGCAAATGTCTAAATGAATTTATTATTATTTTTAAAGCTCTTATCCTTTTTATTATTGCACTAAGTTTCTTTTGAATTTAAAAAGCACAAAAGGGTAATAGTGAAAAGTAAGGCTTTGTCTCATCCAATTTCTTATGAAGCTTTCCAGAAAAAAATCTCTTTTGGTACAGAACACATGCAGATTAAGCACCCCTTGTCTTCTTAAAATTTTGCCCATTTTTGAATCAAATGAGTACCTCCTGGACCAAACTTTTTCAGTAGAATATCTTGGACTGGATCCAGGCTTGTACTTCAAGGCAGAAAAAACTCTCATCTCACAAAATTGTGTGTGTGTGTGAAGTATAACTTTTAATCATCTTCTCCCCTATTCGCCTAAGATCAGCAGTTGCAGGACAACCCATCCTGCTTCCTACAAATATGGTTTTTCACTGTGATTTCCCGGATTTTCCATACTCTTTGTTTCTCCATTGTGCCAAACTGGGAAGCACCATCCTGGTTATTAGCTGTGTTTTTTCCAAACTAGAGATTTTTGATTTTGTTCCTCAGTATATGCCAGCATAGGGAACTGTGTATTGTTGGTTTTGTCTACAATCTGTAACCCTGGGCATTTCTCCTTAGAATCTTTCTCCATCCTTCTTTCACTTTCATTGTACTTCAAAATATACATAGTTTGAAACTTAAAATGCCTTCTGATTTTGTCAAAAAAGGAATTTGTGTTTCTGTTTCTCATTCTATTCATTGCTTTTGAGTGATTCTGGAAAGAAAATTGAGAACACCATCTTTAGACTCCTATTAAAAATAATAAAAGCTTGTTGATTTACTTTAAGTGAACCAAAGATGTATACTATAGACTATGCATTATACCTATGTTTGATGCAAAGAAGTCAAGGCTGAACTCTAAACAGTGAAACCATATGCAAACCTGTGTGCAAAAAACAAAACAAAATGGCCTTGTTCTTACACCAAAAATTTAGTAAATAAAAAGTATATAGTCAGCCTTCTGTATCTATGGGTTTTGCATCTATTAGTTCTGCATCCATGGATTCAGGCAACCATAAATTCAAAATATTTAGAAAAAAAACAATAAAGAATAACAATACAACAATAAAAAATATACATAAAAATCAAGCACTTATATTGTATTAGGTATTATAAGTAATCTAGAGATGATTTAAAGTATATAGGAGGATACGCATAGGTTATATGCAAATAGTATACAATTTTATATAAAAGATCACACCATCTGTGGAATTTTATACCTGGAGGCTCCTAGAACCAATTCCCTGTGGATACCCAGGAACAACTGTATTTTTTTTTTTTTTTTGAGACGGGCTCACTTTGTCAACTGGGCTGGACTGCAATGGCATGATCATAGCTCACTGCAGCCCTAAACCTCTGGGCTCAAGTAATCCTTTTGCCTCAGCCTCTTGAGTAGCTAGGACTACAGGCATGTGCCACCATACATGGCTAATTTTTTAAATTGTTTGTAGAGACAGGGTCTTGCTGTGTTTCCCAGGCTGGTCTTGAGCTACTGGCTCCAATTAATTCTCCTGCCTCAGCCTCCCAAAGTCCTAAAATTACAGGAGTGAGCCACTGTGCCCAGCCCTGTATTCATATGTTTTTAAGTGAAAAATTGAGTGCTTAAGGAGTGATTTGATGTTTCAACTGACTTAATCAAATGCTCAAAAACCAGTCTCATTAGAACATAGAAATTATAAGGAAATTTCAAGATGAAGACACTCTCTCATTAAATCCTAACATCAATCTTTATGATACAAATATTCACGGTCTCATTTTATAGATGGCATTATTTCTTGTTAAAGACATTGAGAGTGTAGGTAGGGTCAACTTCCTGGAGATAAACAAAGGCATTAGAATTGAGGCACTGCCTGCCATAGATCATATTTAGGTAACGACACATATGAAAACTTGTAAGTTGAAAGTACACGGTGAATGGCAGCTGGGAGTATTGATCATGAATTCCATTGTTCTTTGTTGCCCAACTCCTAGAGACTCTAGAAAAAAAAGACTAGTATGTGTTAAGCTGTGTAAGTAGGGCCTCGACTTAGCGGGCTGTGAGTAATGTTCAGGGAGATATCCAGTCCTAAAGACAAACTGAAGTGAAAAACAGTAAATAAAAAATCATGCTCAGGCGTTTTAGATTTATTACCACTCCGCTTCCCTTGTAATTTGTTGACAGTTATTTTAACTCTAATATTGCCCATGTGTTCGATGTTTTATTACCCAACATGTTTCATACACTTGACCAATTTGATCCTATCTGCATGAGTTTCAAGAGTTAAAGTACAGGATATAAGCATCTCTTCTTCAACTCTTCAATAAGTTCCTTGAATTTCTTCTGCCTTTATTTCAAACCTCGATTCTTCAATCTGTTTTAGAAGTGCATTTATTTTGTCTACTGACAAGTATGAATTTTCTTTTTATTCTTCCTCATTGGTTTACTGTTTGCCTGATGATTTTGAGTTTTGGAAAAATGTCAAACAAGCATTCTTCTTGTGCTCAATGTCTGTTAATAAGTTATATAATTATAACACACAGAACCATGGACTCTAGAGTTAGACAGCCTGGATTGGAATCCTTCTTCCCTGATTTCCTAGATTCTGTCCTAAAGAAATCCACATAACCTATGTCTCAATTTACGCACCTATAAAATGAGAATAACATCACTCGTTTTATAAGGCTACCCTTAGTATTTGATGAGACAACATAAACAAAACTTTTAGGACAGCACCTGGCACAAAGCAAAGGTTCAATAAGCATTAGCTTCTCTCATACTGTTTTTTAAAAAATAAACATATTTTAGAACAGTTTTGATTTAAAGAAATTTTGAAGACAGTAAATTTGAAGATAGTAATTTTTGAAGGTAGGAATTTTCACATACTCTATACACATTTCTCTTTATTAACATCTTACGATATGTTTATTTATTTATTTAGAGGCAGGGTCTCACTTTGTCACCCAGGCTGGAGTGCAGTGGTGCGATTGTAGCTCACTGTAACCATGAACTACTGGCCTCAAGCGATCCTCCTGTCTCAGCCTCCAGAGTAGCTAGGACTCCTAGCATATGCCACCATGCCCATATAATTTACAAAATTTTTTTGTAGAGATGGGGTCTCACCAAGGCTGGTCTTGAACTCCTGGCCTTAAGAGATCCTTCTGCCTCCATCTCCCAAAATATTGGGATTAATGGTGTGAGCCACTGAGCTCAGCCTAATGAACCAATATTGATACACTACCGTTAATTAAAGTCCACACTGCATTTGGATTTCCTTACTTTTTATTTAATGTCCTTTTTCAGTTCTAGAATCCCATCCAGGATACCAGATTGCACTTAGCTCTCTTGGCTTTGACAGTTTCTCAGACTTGCCTTGTTTTTGATAACCTTGACAGTTTTGAGGAGTACTGGTCAGGTATTTTGTAGAAAATTCCTCCACACGGATTTTTCAGATGTTTTTCTCATGGATAGACTGGGGATATTGTTTTTGAAAGAAAGACCACAGCAGTAGAGTATCATGTTCCTCACATCGTATCAAGAGTACATACTATCAACATGATTTATCACTGTTGATGTTGACCTGAGTACCTGGCTGAGATATGGTTTGTCCAGGTTCTTCACTGTGAAGTTCATCTTTTCCCCCACCCTTCCTATACTATACTTACTTTTTGGGAGAAAGTCATCATGTGCAGCCCACACTTAAGGAGTGGGGAGCTATGTTCCGTCTTCTTGGGGGGTGGAATAACTTACATAAAATACTTGAAATTATTTTCCATGGGACATTTTTCTCTCCTTCCTTCCTTCCTTCCTTCCTTCCTTCCTTCCTTCCTTCCTCCCTCCCTCCCTTCCTTTCCTTCCTTCCTTTCCTTCTTTCCTTCCCTTCATTCCTTTCCTTCCTTCCTTCCCTTCCTTCCTTCCTTCCCTTCCTTCCTTTCCTTCCTTCCTCCCTCCCTCCCTTCCTCCCTCTTT